GCCTGACAAGAAGGAGGGGAAGCGGTGATGGTCCATTGGGGGGGTGGTGGGGGGGGGGGCCCTAAACAGAAGTTATATTTGGAGGGCCCTCCCTGTCAACGTATCAATATCCGAGTGAGATGACGCACCCACGAGATGGACTATCCAGAGGTCCCTCTAGTGACGTGATCAATCAATTGCAGGGCTATCTATGTAACTTTTTTTTTTTTGCCGGAGAGGCTAAAGCCTATTCTTATTTTTTCACCATTTTGATACTGGTGAAAAAAAGAGGTCCCATATGAATAACTGCTCAACCCGAGCTATGGTCTAACACTGGTGGTGAGACAAGTCCATAAAGAAGGCCGTCTCTGGTGCAGGCCAATCAGTTTCAAAGACAATGCGTACATTGACTCGAAGCTTTCGGTAAAGTGACTTTACCGAAAGAACCAAAGAGTAATGCACACATTATTATCAGAACATGTTTTGTTTGCATGTTTTGGCCACAGGGACGAGTGGTTAATGCAGACTTGATGCCTTGCAATGTGCCTGTTTGGCGATTGAACATCTGAACACCTCCTGTTTTTTATATTCTTGGTTCTTTCGGTAAAGTCACGTAGAAGGGAAATAATGAAATCATAAAAAATATTCTCACGACGTTTTGACTGCAACACAAGCAATCATCAAATTATTTTATTATTATTTCCCTTCTACATGACTTTACCGAAAGAAACAAGAATTTGAATCCCTGCAGTCACGAAAGCTTTAAATCAAAATTTAAAAACCTCCTGTTTTATTGGCAGAAATGGTAAAGTCAATTGCAGAGCTGCACCTTCATCACCAAGACCTTCGCGAGTGAGATCACAGAAGGCATGCAGACTTCTATTGAGATGATAGGGTGAAGGCAAATGCCAGATGCGGACATCGTGGACGTGAGAGGTGAATGGGATTGTAATGTCCATTAGCCTTTTATGTTTGTTGGGATTTTAGTTGACATTTGATGCACCCCTCGTTTTGTTTCACGAATCCAGCTCCCCGCCCCCCCCCCCCCCTTTGAGCTACTTGGGGCACTTGGGGCACTACGCTTTAGAGCTGTGTGTTGATGCAATGTAACCATCGGTAGGCTTTCTCGAGCGATATTATTCGTAATAAATGTTTATTTTCTGGCTTTAATCGCCAGCGAAACGTCGTACTCGAATTGTAAATGTTGTGGGTTTACTCTCCAACACACCGGTGTGCTGTACAAGTAACTAATCGGCACGTTCTGTTTACGTGACAAACCTTACTAATTAGGCTTTGTCGGGTGGTGATGGTGGTGGTGGCTTCACGACACATTTATATTTACGCGATCTAACCCAACAAAAAAAATCCCTTATATCAGTATTACTATTACGTGTGTGTGAGCGTGTGTTTATTCCTAGGTCGACTTAGCCTCAAATGAGTACCTGGTGCGGTGTGTAAACCTTGTCACTTGGGAGACAAAGGCAGCCGGACGTGGTGCTGGCCACCCACCCCCTCGTGTGCCGTGCCGGCCTTCGTAGGTGCTCGCTAACAGCACTTGCCCCTACAGTCTGTTACAGGCTACACGGGAGGTATTTGTATTTTTTGTGTGTATGTTAGTTCCTCGTGCGTATCCACTGCATGGGTTGCTCTGCGTTTGCTCTACTCGGAGCGGCTGTCAAAAGTCCCCGAGTCTAATTTCCCCTCCCCACCACCACTCTCGTACCTCGGCGTTGTCCCCACGAGACTCACGGCCCTGTATACCTAGCCGTGTTAAATATATTATACAGCGGCGTACAGGTGTGTTTCCTCTTCATAGGCGGCAGGTGCCGCCATAAATCAACAGTGAGTTCAGATTGGGTCGCCGATTACAGCCCTTGCAGTTGGAGGACACGAGGCTGGGGGGGGGGGGCCGCCAAGGAAGTTGAGCTGCTGCCTCTTCTCATCATCCGGCGGTCGCCTGATGATGCTGGTTGCGATCACCGACGAAACGTCGTTACACGAATTGTAAATGCTGCAGTGGGTTTACTCTCCGACACGCCGGTTAGTGCTGGACTAGTAGCGAATTGGCACGTTGCGTTTGCGCGACACAGCCTTGCTAATTAGCCGTGTCGGGTGGTGGGCGGGTTTAACGACACATTTAGATTTAATCGATCCCACCCAAAAACAAAATTGTATTACGAAGCCTCTTCTGTTATTAAAAAACATTTTGTTGCCGAGTTCAGACTTAAAGGCCCCCACGTGCCAGACGGCACAGCAACGTCGAAGTTGGGACTTCGATTTCGAGTCGAACCGCGTTTCTTGAATCGAGTGAGGTTGCTGCGAGAGCTTGGGGGGCACGGTGGGGGGGGGGGGGCACGGTGGGGGGGGGGGCACGGTGGGGGGGGGGGGGGGCCAAAGTCGAGCTGCGCGGAAGAGAAAGAGACCTAGGCGTGAGCCGCCGAAGCTGGATTCAGACGCAACAATTTGAACCAACCTGGACGGCATGTGGAGGGTCATGAGCCGCATAAGCTACGGTGCTATGATTAAAGTTTGTACGTGGTGACACACAGATTCAACAACTTGTTCTTCTTCTTTCGTACGGCTGCTGATGTAGGCGCAGAGCATCAACTACAATTTCACATTGAGGGTGGTCAAGCCAGACAACGACCGCGTCCGGAGCAGCGGACTGTATCATCGCCCGCGATGTCCCCTTCGTATTTGTGGATTGGGCGTCGCGTCGTTGTACTGTGTTTCTATGCTCCCACTCCTAGTCTCCCCGCGTTCACCAACTCGCACTGGCCCAGCGTGGCGAAGTGTGGTCAAATAACCCCTCCCTCCTCACCCCCCACAGAGGGCAGGGAAAACCCCCCCATTGTTGTACTGTGTTTCTATGCTCCCACTTCTAGGCTCCCCGCCTTCATCAGCTCGCACTGGCCCAGCGTGGCGAAGTGTGGTCAAACAACCCCTCCCTCCTCACCCCCCTCCCTCAACCAACAACTCCCATGTCATCGGGAGGCCCTCGTCCAGATTGGCAACGAATCGATTCTCGAAAATCGAATTGTGCCCCCGTGAATCCTCACAACGGAGTTTCCGGTTCGGTGGGGTGTGCCAGCCGTGCGCGCCTCCAATGAGAAGTTTGAACAAAATCGCCACTACTCTTAGTTTTTTCGGTAAAGTCACGCAGGTAAAAATTGAAATTAAAATTAATAAAATAAAATAATTATTTATTAATTTAAATTTCATTTTTTACCTACGTGACTTTATCGAAAAAACTAACAGTATGAATCCTTGCAGTCACGAAAGCTTCAAATCTAAAATCGCCACTCTCGAGCGAGTGGCCTGTGGCGTTCACACGCAAGAGCCACCGGCCACAGGGAGGGCTTTCTCTGCGCGACGGCGTTGGCAGTACACAAATATGAACAAAACCTGCACGGCCCTTCTCGGTCTGTCACGTAGTGAACTGAACACTGCCTGGGAGACAGCCCAGCTGATTGAGAAAGAGGGCTCCCAGTATGGATGGGAATCGAAGTTCAAATCCTGGCCAGAGTTAACTGAAGTGTCTTGAAATTATGATGATGATGATATTATCGTCAGCGTCGTCGTAATTTTCAAAACGTTCACCGCCTAATGAGGCTGCGCCAAAGGTGGGTGCAACGATTGCGTCGATTGCAAGCGATTTCGACGCTCAAGATCTGTTGCGTAACAATCCATTATTTTACGATGCCCGGTAATTATATTGCGAATCTTACCTTTGGGGCTCCTGAGACGAACAATAATACAATTGAGACGTAGGAAATAAGAACGCGGGAAAAAAATCTGGTCATTAAAGGAATCGTGACCCCCCCCCCCCACCCCCCAAATCATGATAGGGCATTCATTCATGACAGGGTGAAGACGAACACTCGTAACGGTTATCCAACGGAGAGACTTGGCAATTATCCTTGCCGCAGTAATGTGGAATTTCCCCCACCGATTCAGTTCTGCCAGGGTACATGCGCACCGGCCGCCTCGCCTTCCCATAACTGAGTTGCTCTGACGAGACCCGGGGTAGCGGTGAGTGACAACCAACTCGCGGAGCCAGCTTTGTCGGTCCATCTTAAATCGACACGCGGTCGGTCATAAGTTGTGACTCGAGCGGGCAGCCCTGTGCCCGACACTGCAACTCTTGTACCTGCTCGTCCTGTAGCCTGTAACGCGGTGCTGCACACAGGCCACGTGTACACATCCCCACGGAAATAATCGAGAGGAATTAAAGAGAGAGAGAGAAAAGAATAAATGTTGTTTCAAATCTTCTACAAGTCTCAATCAACGTAGTTTCCCAGTAGGGAGAGATATTGCCAACTGGTTTGACCCAATTACGCAACACGTGAGCACATCTTGAAATTCGGCAAATTTCGACCGTGATACAGCACCCACAACACGTGGGCCTCACTCTATTTCAAATGACGTCACGGGACCCTTACACCCCCCTCCCTCCCCGCAGTATTAACCAGGGCAGCCGTACGGGCTTGAACCGGCGAAACCTCCGCCACGAGCGGGCGGGCGCTACCCTTTCGCCCCCCCCGGTGACAAATAAGGCTGTAGCCGAGCCGGGAATGCGAAGACTCCCCCCCCCACCACACCCAGCCCCCCACCCAGCCCCCCACCCAGCCCCCCACCCAGCCCCCCCAACCCCCTGAGTCTCGGGAGATGTTTCTTTTTCAAATCCTTTATATTAAGTTCACTTGCCTGCTTGCTTGCGCGCTTACGACCGTGCAAATCTTTCGGTCGTTTTTTAACCCACTTCCCGTGATCCAATCGAGCTGACATTTTGCACACAGACTCGTTGTGCGTGACAATTTATTTTCGTGAAAAAAATTCCATAATTTTCCACTTTTTAGGGGAAAAAAACGAGTTCATATTTAATTTAAAATACCAATGTGATAAAAATGAAACCCCTACTCAAGAAAAACAGAAATGGATAATAAAATAAAACCGATGCCACGCATATAAAGGATTTATAGTGAAAAACTTTGTTTTTACGGGTTAATTTTTTTACTCACGTCAGCCGCTTTCTTCTCGGCGACCTCAAGCTTCTCCTGGGCGTCCTTGAGGGCCTCCGAGTACTTGTCCAGCTCGTCCTCTGTCCCCTTGAGCTTCTTCTGCAGAGCCACCAGCTCATCCTCGAGCTGCGTGTCGGCGGGCGAGGGAAGGAGGAGGGATGGAGACAATGTCAGGAATAAAACCACCACGAGATAAGTTGTTTTGCAGCGCACACCGGCGTGATGTGGAACAAAGCCACGAATTTTGCGCTTCCGAAATCAAATCAAACCGACAATTGTCGATGTTTGGGTTGCATCTATCCGTGCGGGGCTTGGAGTGTGATATCTGATCGTGGGGTATTCTACGGGTTCTCTGGATTTCTTCCGCGCGAAGCCAATTGATCTTGAGCAGAATTGACCGAACATCCCAATGCAAATAATGTCATCGATGATTTCCCCCCCCTCGTTAACTTATATCGCGTTAAATGACAAACCGATGGGTCACTTTAAATTTATTCGATTGTTTTTTTTTCTTTACAGCCGACCACTCAACTATGAAAGAAAAAAACCTTCACAAAATATTTGTGTCGCCGTTGATAAATGTTTGCGTTGTCTCCTGAAAGTGTCGCTGGAAAAGGGACTCTAAACGAATCTTTAGAAATCCCACGGCTGCGATAGATTTGTTTGGAAACCCCAGTCTTGGTGTCTCCCCACGTTCTATATTTACTGCGTTGAGCAATTCTAAACGAACGCAATTTTATTTCGGGGGGAATTAAAATATCACGACAAAATCTTCCATCTGGACGACCAGATGTGCCTACGCTAAGGGGCCTCTGTGCGATCTAATTCACTCTTACACACACGGATGGGTTATTTATAAACGTGCAAACAAGTAATTGCGTGCGATAAAATAAGGATCGTTTCGCAAATATGACACGCAGCGTCGTACGCGTTACACCGCCCACTGTTTTCACTTCTTCAGCAAGAAGAAGTCGACGAAGAGAAAACATAAATGTCCCCACGTTTTGAATCGCTTGCGATTCTTTCGCCTTGAAAATTTGCGTCCGCGACCCTCCGGCGGTGTTTTCAGGTTGCACCGCGCGGCGTTCGGGGCACGGTGTCCGACGTTTCGTTCCACGCGCGCTGGGAGCTTCTTCAGGACCTCCCCCCCCACCTCAAGTCCGCCAAGCTCCCCAGCACGCGGAGGGAAACATTTCGTGCCCGAACGACGTTTGAGCGACAAAACCCGAAATCACAACCGATAGCTGTGTAATAAGATATCTTAAAACACACACACACTCACACACATGCACACGCACACACATGCACACGCACACACATGCACACACGCACACTCACACACACGCACACACACGCACGCGCACACACACGCACACATGCACACACACGCACACACGCACGCACACACACACGCACACAGACGCACACACACACGCACGCGCACACACACGCACACATGCACACACACGCACGCGCACACACGTACACACACACGCACACACAATGCACAATAAGCGAGCACAACTCTGCCGGCAAATACATAACTAAGAGTCGACGATCATGGCCCAAAAGAGCAGCGTCTTTGGTCTCACGCAACACGTGGGCGATGGCTCTGCTCGGAGCGCATGAAACCATGAAGACAACTCACGAGCTGGAAGAATGGTGGGGGGGTCTGGCACAAATGATCGCTCGACCCGACGGGAAGAGGTGAGACTCTACCTGCTTGGTCTTCTCCTCCGCCGCCTTCTTGTCCGACTCGGCCTGCTCGGCTCTGTCGATGGCGTTCTCCTTGTCCAGCTTCAGCATCTGCATCTTCTTCTTGATGGCGTCCATGGCTGCGGCTGGTGATGGTGGGCAATGTGCTCACGCGACGAAAGTGAGGAGGATGAGGGAGGATTGACGGCTTCGGACCGTGACTTGGCCGGCTGCGGCTCAGCGAGGCGAGTGAACGGAGCAAGCCATGGTGCCGTGCAGATAAGCGCAGGGCAGGGAGGGTGGGGAGGCGGGGACCTCTGATCTGACCGCCCCCCCCCCCACCACCATCACCACCTTCCTAAATCTAAAGGACATTTTTGGAAGTGGCCGCGTCAGTGGCCCTACCGGCCTATGGGAATGCGGCAAAGGGCCCGAGCGCCGTCCGGGGTCGCGTTGCGCGCTATTTCGTCGGCGAGTGGACGCTGCGGTGCCCGTAAACGGAACGGAGGGGGGGAGTGGGGGGCGCCCTGATTGACGGGCACAAGAGGCCAACCCACCACCACCAGCACCACCAGTACCACCAGCACCACCACCACCCAACCAACAAAATCAACCGGACGACCGTTCCGACCCCACCCCACGACGGCCGCTACCTCGACCCCCCCCCCGCCCCCCCCCGGGGGGGGCACCGTGACCCTCGGCGTGCACAGGGAGTCCCGTCTGTGTTACTGCGGCCGTGTAATCGTGGCCTGGTAACGCTACGCCAATCTTGCGGGTCCGGCACACACAGAGATAGAGAGAGAAACGTCAAGCCTTCCACTTGTGACATCTAATTTATTTTGGAGATTAACCCCCACCCCCAACCCCCAACCCCCAACCCCCACCCCAACCCCCACCCCCACCGCAAGACACCACCACCACCCCCCACCCAGCTAGAGTTCGTGACATTCCCAAAAAGACAAAGATCCCCCGTGTAGCCTTAACAGACTGTTGGGGCAAGTGCTGTTAGCGAGCACCTATGAAGGCCGGCACGGCACACGAGGGGGGTGTGGTGGCCAGCAACCACGCCCGGCCGTCTTTGTCTCCCCAGTGGCGATGTTTACACACAGCTCCAGGTACTCGTTTGAGGCCGAGTCGACCTAGGGGAGACCCAGGACCGGTTCGGATAATCGTCACTGGCGTTGACCGTGAGCGGGAATCGAACTCGGGTCGCGGGGTTCTAAGCGCAGCGCGCTAACCGCTACACAACCGCTCCACACACACACACACAGACACATAAACACTCATCCGAAAAACAAAATGTTACCACCCAGGCCCAGTAGAACGAAACACACGGCGCGGAACAAATAAGGCGGGCGGCGATAATATGTTGGGTCTTGGGTGGCTGGGGGCGGTGGATTTGTCTGAGCTTAGTTTGGCTGTCGGAGGCGAAAGCAACCACTTTGCGCATTAGATGCGAACCCTGGAACGCCGTCGTTCGTGCCGGCACACAGCCATAGTGTAAGATATACACAAGATTATTATTGGACATTAACCGCAAATTCCCCAATGTCCTCTCGTAATGAAAGAAAATCCTCGCAATGTCTAAAACCTATGCTACTTTTAATTGGATCGATAGGCTGAGTATACGGCCACCTAAATATATGCTCAACGTGAAGACGTACACACAGAGAGATTATAAAAACGTACAAATAAACATACACGGTGCTTGATTTTCACGGTAGCTAGGAGATGTTAACTACCTCGCCTGGTCTACAGGAGGTCGTGGGTTCGATCACGACCCTGACACTTGTATATTTGGAGTTTGCGGTGTCTCTCTCTATCTCATCATCATCACAGTTGTAAAGATGTCAACTACCTCGCCTGGTATACAGGAGGTCGTGGGTTCGATCCCGACCCTGACGCTTGTTTTATATTTGTAGTTTGCGTCTCTCTCTCTCTCTCATCATCATCACAGTGGCTAGGAGATGTTAACTACCTCGCCTGGTATACAGGAGGTCGTGGGTTCGATCACGACCCTGACGCCTGTTGTATATTTGCAGTTATGTTCTTCCCCGTGGTCGCGTAGATTTTTCTCCGGGTCCTCCGGTTTTTCCCTCCACGTTTCGAAACAACATCACCACGCGTTTAGAGTGTACGGGCTGCTATACATTTCCACTTGATAAGCCTCTTCGTCGAACTATCATTTGTGGCCAGGTGGCTTCTGAAAATGAGCCACGTATAGCTGCGAGGGCCTTATCTGGCAAAAATAAAAAATAGTTCAGCCAAAGTGGCACGGTGGCGAGTAGGCATGGCCATAACGAGATGCACGTACGACGTGGTGTGCCGGGAGTATAAATATTTTTCTGGGTTACGGAGCACAGTTAAAATTAGGCCCAATATTTATATACGCACTTGTATATATATATATCCACACATTGAGAAGTGTTTAGGTAACGTTTATCTCCGTGTTGGTCCATTAGCAGTCGTGGGACCCACAAGACTGTGAATTGAATTTCGCTCCTCCTGGGAGGGTCCCTGCCCTCTGCTTTAACGCGCTGATATAAGCATGGAGGAATGTGGATCCAGCAGCCGCGTTCACCACCAGGACTTCGTTTCAGCCGGGTCTCTCCGGGTCGGCCGGCACACCACATCGAGTATGCCCGTAGCTTCTTCGGCTGCGGCCACTGCTGTGGTCCCGGTGCGGGCAGTGCGCGTTGCCGGCACAATGCGAAATCAAAACCCGGAGAAGCTTGCTGAGCTGAATGGAGTTCAAAGGAACTCGCAAATAAACACTTCGTGAAAGACCCAACGCAGGCGATCTCCTGGGGTTGGATCTTCCACGAAGCTGCTCACGGTCCACCCTAAACCGCATCCGCTGCACAAACCGTGGCAATAGATGCGGACACCCTGATGTACAAATAGAAAATTAAAAGCTCTCCAGTCAAATTTCGATTTAAAGCTTTCGTGACTGCATGGATTCATCTTCTTGCTTATTTCGGTAAAGTAACGTAGAATGGAAATAATAAAATAATAAAAGTAAAACATAATAAAATAATTCTCACGACGTTTCGGCCACAACAGGTCTGTCGTGAAGACATGTTCTCCACCTGAGGACGGCTGCTTGCGTTGTGGCCGAAACGTCGTGAGAATTATTTTATTATGTTTTATTTGTATTATTTTATTATTTCCATTCTACGTGACTTTACCGAAAGAACCAAGATGAACTCCCCAGTCGTAGTGGTGCGACTGTGGCCATCCAGAACAGACCGGGCAACGTGGAACGACGGAGTAACCCCGATCCACAAACACGAAGGCGATGCACGCCGCTGCTCCTGACGCTGCTGTTACCCGGCTTGACCACCCTGAATGTGAAATTGTGGTTGTCGCTCTGCGTCGACGACATCAGCAGCCGTACGAGAGAAGAACACGATGCCAGCTCACGGTTTACCAGCTACTCGGGCATGAATGCTGGCTCCCGGCACACCGCATCAAGTATACTCCTCTCTCTCTCTGTGTCTCTGTGCATCTCTGACTGCTGTGGCTACGAGTCACGGTGCCGGCGCGTGGCTCTTAACAGGTACTCGGGAAAATTAATGGAGGCTCCCGGCACACCACGTCCAGGATACATCTAACCTCGGCTGTGGCTCACGAGTCACAGCGCGACCTCGTGGATTTGTCAGCTACCCCCCCCCCCCCAAAATGTTTTAAAAAAAAATATTTGGTGGGAAAAATGTCAAGCCGTGCTCAGCACCCCCACTATACCCGTGTGTGCATGCACGCGCGCGTGCGGAGCGGTGGTGCCGCGGTCAGCGCGGCTGCGCTACGAACCCGGCAGAGAGCCGAGTTCGATTCTCGCTCACGGCCGCAAACATCGGCGACGGATTATCCGAGCCGGTCATGAGCCTTCGCCTAGGTCGGCTCAGCCTCAAATGAGTACCTGGTGCGGTGTGTAAACATCACGCCACTGGGGAGACAAAGACGGCCGGGCCGGGCGTGATGCTGGCCACCCTCCCCCTCGTGTGCCGTGCCGGCCTTCATAGGTGCTACTCGCTAACAGCACTTGTCCCAACAGTCTGTTGAGGCTATAGAGAACTATACTACACACGACTATACACTACACTATACACTACACTATACACTTCTACATTCTAGACTCCACTATAGACTACTACATTATACACTACACGATACACTACTATACATTACTATACACCACTTTCCACTACTATACACACTACACTACTATACACTATACACTACTACACACTATACATTACTACACTACTATACACTACTACACTACTATACACTACACTACTACACTATACACTACTACAATACACTATACACTGCTATACACTACTATACACTACACTATACAATACACGACTATACACTACACTATACACTACTATACACTATACACTACACTATACACTACTACACACAGACTCTATCTCTTCCTGGGGGAATTCCCAGGCGTCCCCAGGCAAGCCGAGCGACGTCGTCCCGACACCACCAGCAGCAGCCGCGTGGTCCTGGGCCGGCCCTGGGGGGTCTCCGCCAGCGGTGCCACATCGCTGCTGCTGCTGCCCGGTAGAGTCCCAGGGGGGGGGGGTCTACCGGGGTGGGGGCATCCTCACCGGGTGCCCGAACCACCTCGACTGGCTCCTCTCGATCCGCAGGAGCAGCGGCTCGACTCTGCGGCTCTCCCGGATTCCCGAACTCCTCATCCGAGCACGGAGAGTTGGCGAGACCCGTCAACCACGCGGATGAAAACCTCACTTCTGCCCCTTGTACCTACGACCTCATCATTTCGGTCATTACCACCCAAAGCCCATAACGATGATGATGACGAGGATGGCGATGAAACTACACTGGGCCCTCACCTCTCGTGAAATAATAGCCGCCGGCCGGTCAAGGTTTGCTGTTGCCGGCGCGCGTCCCACACCCGATGAAGCCCGCTGCCGCAGCTGTCCGAGTGTGTAGGCAGTGCAACTGCGCGTGGGAAGGGCTCAGGTGCCCCAAGTTAAGACGTCTGAGTTGCGGGTGGTGGGGGATTGGAAAGGGTTGGGGGGGGGGGCATTTTATTCCTTGAACCAGGGCCAAAGCCAAACACGTGACCCCACGGGCCGAAGCAAGTTGTTTGCATCGGTAACGCGCGTATATCCGTATGTGTGCTGAACTTCTTTCGCACCGTACGTGGCCGACCGTGCTCGTCGGAGGGTGCGTGACGAATCTTTTGTTTGGACACGAACGGGTGAGGTCAGGTCCAGGTCACCCCCACGGCGGCATCCGAGATTG